TATTTGCATAGTTACTATTCCATTTCTTTTCATATTGTTCATGCTTGAGAAACTGTGTACAGAAAATTCACTTTTTACTTAATGGGGAAATATATATTTTTGAACTTTCTTTTTATTATATCTGGGAACATTTTTTTTTCTCCTTCTTAGCTCCGGTTTGGAGACGGGATATATTGTGAGTACCCATGTTTTGTAGCCTGAGAGAATGATGGAGCCAAGAAAAGTTCAGCCTCTTTGGGATACCTGGGTGCTTCTCTCTATCCTAAGATTTATTTTTTAATGAATTGTAGCAAGATTATTGTTGGAAGAGACATCGGTATACTTCACAGGAAGATGCAGTACTTTTCTAATGGGCTTCAGAGGCTTCACTCCTGAGTGCATGGGCATGACATTATTAATGGGTTACATAGAGTCAAGTTTACTATCCATATATCCCCCACTTTACCTTTTGTTGTTGTTGTTGTTGTTGTTGTTGTTGTTGTTGCCCAGAAGTCCTTTTCATTGCTGTTCAGCCAGGAAGAGGTAAAAGAAAAAGATACGACCTTTCCATCTATGTACCTACGAATCTGCTTATCTCCAGATTCAGAAGTTATAACGAGAATTCTCAGAATGCTGTTATTTCACCAGTAATTTCTATAGGGTTTGAGGACAACATTGGGAAATCAAGGACTCCTTCCCTTCTCTGAGCCTGACCAGACTGTTTTTATTCCACAGTTGTTTTTGGTTTTATTCTTTAAGTAATTTTGTCAGGATACGTTCCTTTTCTTTTCAGGCATTGTTAATTTCTGTTTGTTTGTTATTTGTACTCACAGTGTCTCGCACATTTCATTAGGCGTTGATGTAAGAAAAGTTGGTAAAGCATCTTCAATCCACTTGCTCAATCATCATTTACAGGAACACTAAGATATGCGACATAGCATCCTCCTTCAACAGCTGAGAAATCAGAGAACAAGAGTGGTAAAGTAACTTGTCCAGCCCTGGGGAGCCAGTAACTGACTAGGCTAGAATTAGAACCTCTATCTATCTACACTTCTATGTCAGTGATGGGAGGTACCGAAATTACAATTTTAAGATGAAGTTAATAAAAGAGCTTATTTTACCCAATTGCAAATATTTTAGAAGACTAATGATATGCTAGCAGATCTGAGTGTATGGTGAAAATAACAGAGAGAGAATCAGGAAACTAAAGTTTAATCTCTTGCTCTCTCTTAAGACAGATGGTAAATTTGGAAAAGATGATTCAACTTCCTGGGTTTCAATTTCCTTCTCTGTACTAATGATGATGGATGATAATGGTGATGCTGATGATTGTCATAATTTGATGACTATATATCTACTCATTATGAGGCACAATGTGACATATTTTATAAACAATATATTATTAAATCTCAAAACAACCATCTGATATAGACGTTGCATCTATTTTAATAACAAGGACACAGATGATTGCTTAAATCTCCTGAGGCCCATTGATTCCAGAGCACACATTCTTAACCAGTAGCTCTATTGTCTTTCCAACCAAGAAGTCTCACCTGAATGGTCTGTAAAAGATCTTCCAACATTGAGGTTCTTTAGTGCTGTGGTTGATATAGAAGGAAATGACTATGCGTTAATACAGGAGAAGCAACCTCACATATCACTCAAGTACAATTATGAGAGTTACAGACTGGACTTCAGATTAAGTCCTAACATGATCAGGTTTACGCTCGATGCGCATTGCACTGTAGGGGAGAAAATATAATTTCTTTTATTTCCCTTTTTATGTTTTTAGTTGAGACACTCTCCTACAAACAAAAATCAAATTAACAAAAGAAAAGTAGAAATGTATTAACACATGCTGGACCCGTCATACCAAGAGACCTCAATTCAAAAGTATTTCTCTCAAGGCAGTGGCTTGGGGTGATGTTTCAATAATATTTTATCAAAAAGCCATAAATTCTACATAGTAGCAAGGCAAAGGAAAGAACAGTTTTAGTCCTTTAAAAGGTGGGAAAATGTCAGAGGACAGTAAAATCTGTTCTCAGAATCCTCTGGTGTCTGCTGGTGCCTTCTCTGGGCTGATAGCAAGTGCTGTCTCCAGGAAGGAAACATGGATGTCCTGCCATCAAGCAAACAGAGGCTGAGGCCGGGTGTTCTCCTGCCTTTTCAGTACCTTTAACTCAACAATCCTCAAAATTTGGGGAAGAAATATTTTGGTTTCTTTCAGGATATTAAAAAATAAAAACCACAGAATTTCACCTTACATGTGAGTACTAAGCTCTTCCTCCTCCTCTTCCCCTTCCCTTTCTTTCATAGCAATTTAGTCCAAATGCCATGAATTGGAGCTGAGTGAGGTAGGCATCCATGTGCATGTGGGAGAGCAGAGCCACAGCAGCCCAGTCTGAGATGCTGGAACCTGAGTGGGGTGAGAGAGGCATCCATGCAGGACAGGGGTTAGGGCAGTGGTGACTTGGTGTGAGTGGCAGAGCCCAAGTAAGATGAGACCAAGTAAGGTCTATGCCTGTGGTGGGGTGGCCTGGCAGAGGGTATCCGAGCCTGAGGAGGGGGAGGAGGGTTCCATTGTTAGGGAAGGGTACTGAAGGCAGAAGCCTGGAGTCTGGTGTTGGAGCCGAGGAGAAAGAGGGTGGTTTCTAGGGGGAAGAGAGCTCCCGTGCAATCTGAATGATGTGAGAAAGCTATCCATTCAGGAATATGTGTGTACCAAGTGTTAGAGCATGAGTGGGGTGAAGGAGGGCATCCACACTGGAGGCAGACCCTAAACAGGATCAGAATCTGAATGAGGTGAGGAGGGACGAACCGCCCAGCAAGTGGCGTCAGGGCAGGTGTGGGAGTAAAACTGGGAGTGGACATCAGGACCTGAGCAGGCAGAAGAGGATGCTGACAGTAATAGGAGACTAGTCACATACAGGAGAATTGAGCAAATGCATAAATATGTCAAAGACAATGGGCACCGGATTTCTCACAGTCTAAATGGGAGTTGCAAATATAAATAGAGGAAAACTATAAATCACTGTAAATGAACACAACACATACACATATAAAATCTATGCACACACACAAATCTGCTGAAAGGCTCAGGGCAAGAGCAGCTCAATAAAAATGAATACATTGAGCATTCTCATAATGGTTTCTAAATACCAATCTCAAATAAAGGACACCAGGGTTTTTTTGTTTTGTTTTTGTTTTTAACAACAACAACAACAACAAAGGCTACTGTGCTGGCAGAGCACGTTAAATACAAGATAATCCTGGAACTCTTTCTTGTATCAGATAGGAAAAATTCAAAGAATGATAAGTATACGCCAAAGGGCAGGCCATTTGAAAGCACTGAAGAAATAGCAAATGTATTATAACTCATTGACCAAAATAAGAAAGCTTGAATTCACACCGATAAAGCAGGTCATCCTCATAGAAATATATGAATAAAAAGTTTAAATGTCCAATGAGGCATATTTGCATTGTCTAAAGTCCCTAGCCACAAAACACTAATTACAAAGAAAAAAAAAATACTTTTATACTGGAGAAGTTTGACAGGCACCACCTTAGTCAAAAGATTATTTAACTTCAAGAGCAATGGGACAAATAGGAGTCTTAACCTTCTACCTGACAGAATGCAACATAAAGAGCACAGCATCCTGAATCGAATTATAACGAAAGTGTTTTATTACCTCCACTGGTGTATCCAGTAAAGGAGGAGGGGCTAGAGGAAGAGAGGGCAAGACAATGGGATCAGTGTACTTGCTGGCTGGGAGAAGTCTTTTTTATAGTGATATTTTAATGCCAATTTTTACTACTTTTATGATTATTTTTAAACATCTTTACAGACCCTTTTATTATATGTGCCCTTGGCATATAGCTCCTACCCCTACAGGGAAGAGTCTGTGACTTGCTGTTGATACCTGACTATTCAGACAAGCCCAAATTAGGTGAAACTTTACCAAATAACCACCTTGTGATCTAAGGTGTTAAAGTCAGGGAAATCAAGGAAAGACTGGGGAATTGTTTCAGATAGAAATAGACTAAAGAGACATAATTAAGAGAGTCCAGGCATGGTGGGTCATATCTGTAATCCCAGCACACTGGGAGGCCGAGGTGAATAGAATGCTTGAGCCCAGAATTTTAAGACCAGACTGGCAACATGGTAAAACACCATCTCTACAAAAAAACAAAAATTAAACTGGCATGGTGGCAAAAATTAACCCAGGAAGCCTAGGTGGAAGGTTCACCTGAGCCCAGGAGGTTGAGGCTGCTGTGATTGTGCTACTGAACTTCAGTCTGTATAACAGAATAACAATCTGCCTAAAAATAAATAAATAAATAAATAAATAATTTAAAAAAAAATTATCAGCTGGATTCTTTTGGTTTAAAAGATTTTATTGGGAGCCAGACACAGTGGCTTAAGCCTGTAATCCCAGCACTTTGGGAGGCTAAGGTAGGAGAATGGCTTGAGGTCAGGAGTTTGAGACCAGCTTGGACAACACGAGGTGACTCCGTATAGCCAGGCATGGTGGCAGGCACCTGTGGTTCTAACTACTTGGGAGGCTGAGATGGGAGGATCACTTGAGTCCAGGAGTTAGAGACTGCAGTGAGCTACGATCACACTACTGCACTTTAGCTTGGGTGACAGAGTGAGACACTGTCTCTACAATAAAAACAAAACAACAAAAAAAGTATTTTATTAGAAAAAATGGAGAATAGGACCTGAAGATTAGATGTTTAGTGCTGAATCAATCTTAATTTCTTGTTATTGCTGGTTTTGGGGGTGTTATGCCCCTTGTTTGTTGGAAATATAAACTAATTTATTAGGGTAATAGGGGACTGGTTTACAAGAGAAAAAAATTCTTTGTCCATTTTTATAATATTTTCTGTAAATTTGAGATTGTTTTAAAATAAAATCATTTTAAATATGTATATTGAATTTATATTTAATATAGACTTGCATTCAAAACAGGGCCATTTTTTTTTTATTTTCATGTGATTTTTTTCTTTTCTTTTCCCAGGTGATGGGCTTTTAAGCCGTCCTATTTTTACTCAGGAGCCACATGATGTCATTTTTCCTTTGGATTTATCAAAATCGGAGGTCATCCTGAAATGCGCTGCTAATGGTTACCCTTCACCTCATTATAGGTAAAATCCTACCTCTGGGCATGACACTATTTTATTCTTTGTCACTGAACCAAAACATACACAAAATAAAATGTTTTATAAAATGTCCTAATTTGTAGTGTACAGCTCAAGAAATTTCTCTATGGCTATGCAGCCATGTGACAATCACTCAGATAAAGATATCGGCATTTCCAGTACCCCAGGGTGTTCCCTCATGCCACTTTCTAGGCAATAATTAAGCGCCTACCCATCAGCTCCAGGTAACCGTAATTATGTCTCTGTCTTACTAATTAGGTCTGCTTAGAACATTTATTCTTGAGATTGGTGCCATGCATTGCCATATTGTGGTCAGAACTGAGAGAGAGAGAGAGAGAGAAAGAGAGAAAGGGGAGAGAGAGGGGAGAAAGACAGGAAGCAAGTAACACAGGAAGCCAGGGAGAAAAGAAAGATAAAAAGAAAGAAAAAAAATGAAGAGAAAGGAAAGAAAGATTTGTTTCCTCAATTTGAAAGACTAAAATGTAAGCTTATTTTGCATTTCCCACCCCCACCTCGATGTGGAACTGCAGCCTCAGTTGCTACATATACAATGATTATGAAAATGTTCTATAAAGAATGAATCAAGATGGATATCTAGATTTATTTCATCAGATAAAATTATGTGACTTCACTGGTGGCCCAAAAATACTGATTTTAGAAAAATATGTTGAAGACAGCTATGTACCCTCTAAGGCAGAAAGGGAATTTTTACTCTTGGCAAATAAGGAAAAAAACCTATATTTGTTTCTCACATATTATTTGTGGAATTATAGGGAGAAAGGGTCAGTAAGTTTTTGTTCTTATTTACAAAGTTGCAGCAAAGGCAGAATTTGATTCATATTGTGGGTGGAATTTACAAATTTTAAAATATATGCATACATAAATATACGTAGGTAAATAATAAAGATAGTTAGCAAAAACTTCATATGTAGTGTTAATACAGGAAAAGAAAATACTTATTAAACTTTTGTAGCTTTGAGTTTTAAAAGCATTTTTTTAAGTCTTGTTTTTTAGATGTGAAGTTGAAATGACACACACAAAAAGTGACAATTTCAGTTCATTTTGGCAAAATAAGCTGGTTTAGCCTAATTTTATTTTGCAGTAAAAATACACTGTTGATGTGCATAATTATTTAGATCCTAAAATTGTCTCGATTAATTAATTAAATGACTTAAATGCACTTAATTAGCTAAATGACTTCAAAGCTAAAGGCAGTTCTACCTTATCTTGTATTTTTTTGAGCTAACTTCAGCATCTTCTTTTTACAACAAAGGAACTGAAGAACCATGTCTTCTCATTCCACATACTAAAGCTTCCTTGTCTTTATCATACCCAAACCAACGAAACTCATCTGTTGGGAGAAGATCCTTCACGTTACAAGTTCGGGATACTCAATTCAGAGTTCGTTGATTTGTTAGTTTTTCTTAAATGATGAGCTGTCTTATTAGTTTAATATACGGTTAAATATATGAAAATTTGATTAATACATTTATTGAGATCACCTAATACTTAAAGTAGTAATTTTAAGTTTGAGAGCTAATTAGGTTGATCCTAGGGGTTAGGAGAGAAAGAATATAAGAATTCCTACACCTTTTTGTGAAAGTTTGCTGAATATAAGATGGACACATAAATAAATAAATTACATATTTATATAAAATATCTATTGGCTTTTAACAGGTAGAAGGATATAAAATAGGTTCTCAAGATAATTTGCTAATTAGTTTTATCTGTGAAAAAATACACAGAATGAAGACGACATTTTTCAATGTTGTTAAATGGCTTTTATTTCTAAGACACTTCTAAGCTAAAAGGCTAAAGACAAGTAACTTAGGTACTTATTTCCAGCCCCCATAACCTGGTTTGGCTCATTTCTTTATTTTTTAACTTTTAAGTTCAGGGGTACATATGCAGGTTTGTTTTATAGATAAATCTTTGACATGGGGGTTTGTTGTACAAATTATTTCATCATCCAGGCACTAACCCTGGTGCTTATTAGTTATTTTTCCTGATCCTCTCTCTCCTCCCATCCTCCATCCTCCAGCAGACCCCAGGGTCTGTTGTTTCCCTTACTCATAGGCAAGAAACTGTGGAAAGAGAGTGAGGAAAGAATTAAGATTTTAATGCTTAAATGTCAGACTCAGACCCAATAAAGCAAAGGACAGAGGTATATCAGATAACGTGCATTAGCAACAAAATGTAAAATTTTAGTTTTAATATGACCCTTTCTAACTTAAATTTTATTTTCTAAAAAGCCTCACAACTATATTCACCTTAGATTGTGTGTGTGTGTGCATGTGTGGGTCTTAGAAGGAAAGCCTTTAAAATTCACAGATTCTAACATTATTTGAGGTTACTTGGGTATAGTGTAAAGCAACATAAAAGAATCCTTGACTTCGAGTTATCATTTCTAGTCACAGCTCTATCAATCTCTTGGTGACTTTGGAATAATCATTTTTCTCCCATGGCATCATCTTCCTTATTCGTAAAATGAGACTGGGTTTGATTTTTAAGATGTGTTTTCTTTCTTTTAGTAAATTCCATACAGCAAATGAAATCTCAGGGAAAATAAGCAATATGAAAAGCAAACTTTTTGAAATAGCTTAAACTTTCCCATGAAAAAGGATTCCTTTACTCTTTCTTCTTTTTTTTTTTTTTTTGAGACGGAGTCTGGCTCTGTAGCCCAGGCTGGAGTGCAGTGGCCAAATCTCAGCTCACTGCAAGCTCCGCCTCCCGGATTCACGCCATTCTCCTGCCTCAGCCTCCCGAGTATCTGGGACTACAGGTGCCCGCCACCTCGCCTGGCTAGTTTTTTGTATTTTTTAGTAGAGACAGGGTTTCACCGTGTTAGCCAGGATGGTCTCGATCTCCTAACCTCATGATCCACCTGTCTCGGCCTCCCAAAGTGCTGGGATTACAGGCTTGAGCCACTGCCCCCGCCTCCTTTACTCTTTCAAAGATCACATAACACATGAGAATATGAAGTCCAGCCCTGAAGCCGTGCAAAGGGAAGAGAAATGGGTTACCCAAAGATGGTGCTTTGGAAGGATTGCTTATACCTGGAAAATCTAGCAAAATCATGTAGCAATGAACTTAGTTCTATCTCAGAATATGTATTTCATTTGGAAAAGTGAAATAACATGCACATAAATTATTTCTAAACCGGATATACTCTCTATCAGAAAAAAGGACTTCTGACAATCCTCTCTACCTCGTCACCAGAGGAGACTCCTTTCTGTAATTTAGTCTACTCTACCCTAGTCATGAACATAACCTTAAGTCTGGAGAAGCTCTAGGCCTCTAAGAAAGAAAACTGTAAATGTGGTCACTCTGCCCTTCTATTCTTTTTATTCATTTCCCCCAACTTGGTCCTTGTAACAATCCTGTGAGATAAGCAGAATATACATTATTGCACACATTGTATAATTTGTGAAATGACTTCTGGAGAAATCAGAGGGCTTGTTCAAGTATATGCAGCAAGGGAATGTTAAAGCTAGGACTAGGATTCTTTCCACAGGGGTGACAAACTCAAATTCAGTGTACATCACAATCACCCAGAGAAACTTAAAATTTAGATTTTCGTGTTCTCTGTCAGAGGTCTGGGGATGGGCTCAGGAATAAGCCAGGCAGAGAGAGACAAATATCATCTGATCTTACTCATATGTGGAATCTAAAAAATGTCGATTTCATAGAATCAACTCATAGAAGTAGAGTGTAGAATGGAGGTTACCAGAGGCTGAGTCAGGGAGAGGCAGGAAGGGAAAGGAGACACCTGGATCAAAGGGTGCAAAGTGATCTTTAGACAGGAGGAATAAGTTCTGGGATTTGTTTGCACAGTCGAGGGACTATAGTTAGTGATAATGTGTTGTATATTTCAAAATAGCTGGAAGAGAAGATTTTGAATGCTGTCACCACAGACAAATGATAGATTTTTGAGGTAATGAATATGCTCATTACTCTGATTTGATCATTACAAAATGCGTACATGTATGAAAACATCACATTATTCCCTATAAATATGTGCCACCATTATTTGTCAATTAAAAATAAATGAAACTCAGAAAAGAAACACATACTTTCAACAAACATACCATGTAATTCTAAAGCAAAGCCTAATTTTGAAAAACACCAACACACACAAGCCCGCACACGTGCACGCGCGCGCACACATAAACTCAAAAACACACACACACATTACAGAAAGACAGCCAACAAACACAGCCCACAACCATTATTCTTTTTTGTTTTTGTTTTTGTTTTTGAGACAGAGTCTTGCTCTGTCAGCCAGGCTGGAGTGCAGTGGTGCGATCTTAACTCATTGCAACCTCTGTCTCCTGGGCTCAAGCAATTCTCCTGCCTCAGCCTCTCGAGTAGTTGGGATTACAGGCGTGTGCCACTATGCCCTGCTAATTTTTGTGTTTTATTTTAGTAGAGACGGGGTTTCACCATTTTGGCCAGGCTGGTATCGAACTCCTGACCTCAGGTAATCAACCTGCTTTGGCCTGTCAAAGTGCTGGGATTACAGGCGTGAACCACCGTGCCTGGCCCAGCCATTATTCTTGACACAGGACTAAACTACTTAAAAGTGAAGGATGTTTCCCAACAAAGGGTCAAGGTTTTAGTTCACATCCATTATGTTTTCTGGAACTAATATGATTATTAATTCAGATGCTAAAAGTAATCATTTAAAACACACTTCCTAGGTTGCATCATAGGATGACACTTATCAATATGCAATTCTATCAGAAACGTGTGCATGACAATCATTTGAATTCATTAATGCTGTTTCTCCATTGATTTAGACATATTAATTAGGACAAAGCCCACACCAGGAGTTGAACCCCTGATCTATATGCGCAGTTTAATAATCATTGTACCATAGTGATCAGAATGATTATGGGGATACTGTGAAAAATTCATTTGCTGCAGCTAAGCCAACAACTTTGAATTTGTGTTGAAAAACAATTACTGAGCTTAATTAGGAGCATGTAATGATGACAGCAGTTATTTCAGTGATTGATTCCAAAATTAAAAAGAGCTGGCAAACTAAGTATGGTATATCCTATGCTTTGAAAACGATAGGGAACATGGAAGTCTAAAGATCCTGCCCTGTAAGCAAATTATCAAAAACTATATTAGAGTGCTGGCAAGGAGAATATTGGTGTCTTGAGAGAGGCCTAAAGAAAGAAAAGTTTTGAAGGGTTTTATTTTTGTTTTTTGTTTGTTTTTCTTTACTTTTTTCTTACCCTAATATTGAAAACAAGGAGCAGCCTCTACAAATTCCTCTAGGAAAAAAATGATCACAGAAAATATAGGCAAATGAAATGTACTCTTTGACTGTTGTCTTTCAACTTTCAAGTGTGCAGGAAATGGCTAAATAATTTGAACATTAACAGAGTTGGTTCAAAACCTTTGATTGATTTGATATCTGATCCATCACATCACGTCTTTAACAGGGTAGTGGACTACCTAAGTTCATATTTCTTTTCTACTTTGGTAGGCATTTGTCAGATTCTCCCCCATGGGATGTTTGAAGATGCACCTGAAGAAGTCAATGACATTTGAATTAATTCTGTATTTTTAGTAGAGACGGGGTTTTGCCATTTTGCCCAGGCTGGTCCCAAACTCCTGTCCTCAAGTTATCTGCCCACCACGGCCACCCAAAGTGCTGGGATTACAGGCATCTGCCCAACCTCTTTGAATTAATTCTGTAAAATGCCATTTTTTAAAAAATTAACCACTGCCACCAAAATATTTTTAATATGATTTTGGTATAAAGGGGAGAATCATAGCAAAGCTGGCATAAACTCTAAAAAACACAGTTTGGAAATTGGCTGTATTCCATAGGAAAAGATCATTCACTTGTTTTCCTAGATGACTGTGATGGGGTTTAGGACACACCACCTCAAAATATGGCATCTTGGCATTTGAGAAAATAGCAGAAGCAGGAAGATCATTCTCACCTTCCCCTCACTCTTCTTCTCTGAAGCAAGTCATAAAACCTTTATTCCAGAGGTATCCTTTCTATACCCAGAAGAAAGAAACACCCTTTTCCTCCTCAAAGACATAGAGAATCCAAGAAGAACTGGGGAAAAAAAGCCTTGCTAAGTTCCTGTCAGTTTCTTACCATTAGATCATACCCTCTGTTTACAATCATACTTCTGCAATACTGTCTACTCTTCATCAAAACTAGCATTAAAAACACACAGGTTGGCCGGGCGCGGTGGCTCAAGCCTGTAATCCCAGCACTTTGGGAGGCCGAGACGGGTGGATCACGAGGTCAGGAGATCGAGACCATCCTCGATCTCTGTCTCTACGAAAAAAACCGCAAAAAACTAGCCGGGCGAGGTGGTGGGCGCCTGTAGTCCCAGATACTCGGGAGGCTGAGGCAGGAGAATGGCATGAACCCATGGCCACTGCACTCCAGCCTGGGCGACAGAGCGAAACTCCGTCTCAAAAAAAAAAACCGCAGGTTTTCCTGTTTTTTAGGATTATTTTTTTCTGAAGGCTTTCATGTCATGGAATATTTATATTAAATAAAATTACATGTTTTTGTCTTATTAATCTTCCTTTCCTTTTAGAGACCTCAGCCATGAACCTAGCAATGAGTGAGAAAAGATATTTTTCTACACGTACAATTGGTTGTCATTATTCAATATTTTTCAGTGTCTATTTTAAAAAATGGGCCGGGCGCGGTGGCTCAAGCCTGTAATCCCAGCACTTTGGGAGGCCGAGACGGGCGGATCACGAGGTCAGGAGATCGAGACCATCCTGGCTAACACGGTGAAACCCCGTCTCTACTAAAAATACAAAAAACTAGCCGGGCGAGGCGGCGGGCGCCTGTATTCCCAGCTACTCCAGAGGCTGAGGCAGGAGAATGGCGCAAACCCGGGAGGTGAAGCTTGCAGTGAGCTGAGATCCGGCCACTGCACTCCAGCCCGGGCGACAGAGACAGACTCCGTCTCAAAAAAAAAATAAAAAATAAAAAATAAAATAAAATAAAAATAAAAAAATAAAAAATGGTCTATGCAACTACATACAGCCTGTGCCCTAGGAATGTATCTCATTAGATATGTAAGAGTCATGCTTCACAATATTTGGAGATTTTGATGGAGTTGCAAGTTTCAAGGTAGGAAAAGTGAGTCTGGTTAGAGATAATTATCAGGTATTCATTTGTCTTAAAAATGAACAAATAAAATTTCTAAAACTAGTTAGGAATCTTTGAAAGTAAATATACCTCTAAGACCCTTCAGCTAGTTAATTCATGTACTAAAGAATTGTTGACTAATAGCTAAGCCAAGAGAATGTTTGCTTCTCAAAATAAAAACCTCTCAAACAGCATTTGCTTTGCTAAAGTATAATTTTAGTTTGGCATTTCTAAGTACCATTGAAATATTTTCAACATGATTAATTTTGCAAGTGACATACTAACAGAGGCAATCATGTTCTAAAGTAGTCAGATTATTATTGTTTTGTTTTCAGCCTTGAATTGGCATTGTAAAATTATTCTTTCCATTTTTAATATACGCTTCTTGAATTCCTATCTTTAAATCATTTTGACATTCAATTTTGTGCTACCAGTTGTGGATGTTCAGGTAAGGTATATGTTATCTGAAAAGTCGCTAAAGGAATAGGTTGGCCAGTATTATTGACTGACTGTCTAATTTTTACTTCTCATGTCAAGAGTTCTGTTTCCTCTTTGTATACATTTGGGTGAATGTAACGTATACAGAGTATATCTTTCAAATAATCTAGTTACTGACATCACCGAATCCACCAAGACAGTCACCTTTGATAAAACTGGTAGGATTCCCTCCACATGTAATCATGTTTTGTTTTTTGGTGTTTTTTATAGTTTCAGGAATTAGAACTACATGTTGTTTAAGTCAAAGAGTGATTGACTCTGTATATTATAAGCATAATTTTATTTTTTTTTCCTTGAAGGTGGAAGCAAAATGGCACAGACATTGATTTTACTATGAGTTATCACTACAGGTTGGATGGAGGCAGTCTTGCAATCAGTAGCCCCCATACAGATCAAGATATTGGCATGTACCAGTGCCTGGCCACCAATCTGCTGGGGACAATTCTGAGTCGGAAGGCAAAGCTCCAATTTGCATGTGAGTTTGGGGGTAAATTTTGTAATCTGTGTCTCTGAAAATATAATATTCTTCTGATACACACATTTTAAAAATCTCGCTTTGCCAATAATATATTGAGAATGAATATAAATTTATGGACTTTTGACAATCTTCATTTTGTGAATCTAGATTCCTGGGTATATTAGAAACCTGCTTCTGAAAAAGAAAAAAAAAAAAACAGAGAAAAGATCAACATTATTATATTTTGTGAATTATTTTTAGAAACATTTCTAAAAGTTCCAAACATAAATATTAATATAAAGATATATGATATAGCATTATTTTCCTTTTTCTTTTGCATTGGATATTAATGTGGAGAGCAAAGGAAGAAAAAGCTGAGGGCAGAGATGTCATCTGGGGGAGGTGGGCGTTCTCCCAAGAAAAGCGATCATGCACCCACAGTTTGATGTAGGTGGAAATAAAGTGGTTGCCAAAGGCAGGTTTTATATTAACTTTAACAATGTCCAGCTGCATCACATAAATGTCATCCAAGTAATTACCTTGGTGACATTTGGGGACATTAGCAGATGAACAATAGACATACTGAGTCTAATATCCTTTATATATAGTGTTTCCAGGGACTGAAATGTTTCATATTGGATTCAGCAAAGGCCTTGTTTGAGAGTAATTATATCTGTTGATGTGGATAAAGTAGAAGGCTTGCATTTCTCCCTTTGCACCAGCCATTATGTCCCAGAGGATCTATCCAAGGAGCCAAAAAGTGAGCTGCTATACCTGTAGGGCTCATAGAAATGTCTACACTATCTCTTACTTTGAAAAATTAATTGTTCTGAAATTTTATTAATAAATACGTGCCCAAAACTCACCTTGTGAAACTATTTCAGTCATCAGTAAATACATGAATTAATAACTGGGTCTGTTTCTCATTGCAAGTCTTATGTTCCAAAGGTTATTCTACACCAGAGATCACTTGGTCTACACAGAGTTCTCTTTATGTTGACCATTGTGAGGATGACCTTACTTCTGATTTTACACACACCACATACACATACACACATGCACACACATAAACATATGTACAGATATACACACATAAATACATTGCTAAGTGTATCCAAATGTATTTGTATCTATGGAAGTAAGAAGTGAATGTGGAAGTCTATTTACCTAAACAGAAGGTGGAAAAGGGCCAGTGGCTACTTTGGGACATAGGATAAAAATATTTATAACACTTGATTTCTTCATTTCAGCTAAGACCATCACCTGGAAAAATAATAGGGAACAAAATAACATAGAAACTTATGTTATAGAAATGAAGAATTGTTCCAGACTTTGAATGATTCTGCCACAGTAATTGTTTATTTCTCCTGCTTAGGTAGGAGATGACCCTACAACATACACATGATATGAATCAGATCCCATAATCATAAATTTGACTCTTTGGTAAAGGATACTCTATATAGCATGTTTATTGGCTATACCCTTGAGTTTCTCTAGAGTTATGATTCTATCTACTCTTGAAAACAGTTGAATGTCTACATCTCAAATTAATGCATTCTTTTATATAACCATATTATTTCTTCTCCTTTGTTCTGTACTTTTTAACAAAAATATATTTTAAAATGTCCTACATTATTAAATCATACCTTCTTTCTGCTTTAAAAATTTCTTGCAACTAGAAATTTCCCTAGTTAAAACTTATTTTGTCTATGCCATATCAGAGAAAGTCTCAATTAAGAAGAAATTGTATGCTTTCGTCTGGCTAAATGGGACAAATCAATTTTTCTGTCCTTATTAACTTTCCCATCTTATCATAAAATTTTCCGTTTTGGGGCAGAAGGTGTATGACTGTTGTTCTTGAAGAGCAGTTCTATTACCATTAATGCAGAAAGTAAAATGGCCTATATCCATTAACTAATCTTTCTTCTGCAAAGTTAGAGGATCTTAGGCTTTAAGAGCTTGCAAAAACAAGAATCACAACATGGTGGTGGTGTCCTGTCTGAAATATTTCTTATTGTATCCAGGGAGACATGTGCTAGAGTGTGGAAACAGAAAGAGTAGAGGGTATAAATGCAAGTCCCCAACCAAATCAAAAGTTCCTAAAGTGCATGAACTGCATCTTCATCTTCATTATAATTCCTCACAACCTCCTTCATAAACTTTTAACAATATCAATTTTGATAGACAAGGCCTTTGCTAGGATAACCACAGTAGTTAAATGCTGAGATTTTGTGAATAGAGACGTCTGAGTTCAAATTCTTTTCATCAAATATCTCGTAGTATGAAATTAGGTCATTTCTTAACAACATTAAGCCTCTGTTAAGAAATCTATACAATGAGAATACAGCAGTAGCCACCACATAGGACAGTGACATGGAGTCACTGAGAAAATGAATGTCAAGTCCCTGATCCATTATGGACCCTAGGAAAATGACAATTCTAATTCTTCCTTTCACTATTATTACCTCTTTCAACTTGGACAAACATCTGTATATTTCAAACCACTTGAGTTTCTTATGGAAAACTCTTCTAGTTTACATTTTAAAACTTTCTATAAGGCTAGTTTCTTGTTCTTCTGTTTTCATGTCAAATATAATACATGTGGTTTGACATATATGATTTCACTTGAATTGGACAACAGCTGTAGGAGGCAGTTGCTATCATTGTCCCCATTTTACAGATTAGAAGCCTGAGGCTCACTGAGATTGGGGCTTTCTTAAAGTATGTTGTTAGAGAAAAGTTGGAACTTGTGTATAGAAAAAGAAGACTTCAGACTCTAAAACTCATGCACTTAATCTTACGGTATTGAGTCCTTCTCAAACACTGACCACACACTTCACGTGGGCCTTCTTTCTTTGTTTCATTTGCTGGCACAGTAATTGTCTAAATAATAAACCATATCTTCAGGACAGAATGGTTTAAATAAGCCTGGTAGTAGATGCTGGTGCTTCCTTGTCCACCACTTTTGCAAGTGATGTGCCAACCCCCAGCTAGTAACACCCGCAGATATCCCTTTTTGCATTTCATGCCCCAAACCTCTCCATGGGATCAGGCTGAAACTACACAACAGCTGCGACACCTTAATTAGCTTCTTCATTTGCTTTTTCCTTCATCCCTCCCTGCCTTTCTCCTAAGAAGATTCCCTCAATAAATCATACGCACTTGAATCCTTGCCTCAGGCTCTGCTTCTAAGGAATCCAAAGTGAGACAGAGATTAAACATTTAATATGAGATCGCCGGTCTACTTACTGATAGAAAAAACGGGTCCAGAAGCCCCACTCCTATGAACTCTCATAGATAAGAACAAGCTATGCATCAAAATAAAAATATATCAACTCCCTTGCTTCCCGTCAGTTGGCATTCCATTGCAAAATGTCACTTTGACCTTCAGAACAAATGGTCCTATGGACAACCTTTCAGAATATACCCTGTCCGTGGTAGAAATGCTGCAGGGACATACCTCTAGATAATTGATGGCTTTTGTTTGTCACTTTTATCCTGGTATTCAGTAATCCAAACGCACACTTTGAATTTATTTTAGACACAGACTGTAACACTCTGCTTCATCATGAATCGTCTCATCATGAAATCATCCTGAAATGTGGCCTGTGTATAAAAACTACCTGTGGTGAAATATACTCCTAAATCAAATCTGTCTTTAACCAACTATGTAACTTACACAAGTCATCCACTTCTCTGGACTTAGCTAAAGTATATTTTGAATTATTTGATTACAAAAATCTCTTTCCACTGTTGTCATATAATCTGTCCTTCCAAATACTCAGGTAGATCCTAATTTAAGTACCTCTTTCTTCCCCAACCCAAACTCTACCCTAAAACAAATTCAGCAGGTGTCTAGTCACCAAAGGGCTCTGTTATCATCCTGGCATTCTTGAATGATAAAACTAGTTTGACTTCTAAAATCACTTGTAGCTACTTTGAATTTCGTTTATTTCTCAAAGACTTTGGTGGTAAAGGTTGAATGTAGACCTCTTCCTTTGGTATGTATGTTAATGAATTACTCTGTACTTGTGTGTGAGAATATTACATCTGTCATTGCTGTTTAAAATGTCATCCTTGAGAAAATGAGATAGGTGTTTTGAAAGAAACCCATGATATCACTCAGATGTAATTTTTAAAGGCCCTTATAATATATAACTCTACCAATGAAAAGATAAACATTTATGATAAAAGGTAGTCATGAATGGGACTTTTTGATCCTGCACTGTTTAATGTTTAATCACAGCTAGCATTTTAAATAAGTTTGCTCCATTATTGCAGAAGGAAAGGCAGCTGGGCTGGAGCCTCCTAATTGACCCTTCATTTATTCATCCTCCAAGCAACCGGAGAACACCTAATTTATATGCATCAAGCACTACACTAGGTCCTAAAGATTAAATGGTAGATAAGAAACAGCTACTTCCTGTCTTCACAGAGCAGACAGGTGAAACCTTTAATACAATTAAAAATAAGAAGAAAAGGAAAATAAAGGAAATTGCTAACGCTTACGAAGTATTATGTGGCAGGCATTGTTCCAAACTCTTTATGTAAATTAGCTCCATTGATCCTCACGATAACCCTCTGAGAGTATCACAATCTTCACTTTCAGATAAGCAGAGATTGAGGCATAGAAGAATGAACTAGCTTGCCTAAAATCACACACAGTATGTGGCAGAGTCCGTTTTCAAATCCAGACAGAGTGGACTGAGTCCATGCTCCTACCACCTACTGCACTGTCTCAAAACATCAAGTGAAGTGAGAAAGGTGAAATTAACCTATAACAGAGTGGAGCTCAAAGTGAGAAGTAGTGAGGTTTGTCTGAATTGGAGAAAAGGCAAGGGAAGCCTTTCAAAGGGAATGGGCTTGCATTGAACCTTGACATGTTAGTTTGTGTTCTAGACAGAGAAAGTGGGTGAAGAAAGTACAGGTTGGAAGAACACTAAGAGGAAATGCAGTTGTGTGAACAATCTTCAAGTATCGAAGAACGTTTGGGGAGGTGGGCAAAAGAGCTGAGAACT